ATGTTAAAAAGTTTAACAGTTAACTATGAGGCAAATTTTTCAATTACTATTACACAAACAAATTTAATTATAAAATTAATTTGCATGCGACATGTCCGACGCTTGTTAAGAGAATCAGAGAATTGCAATATAATAAATCATTTTTTTTTCAATTACTAGTAATTTTTTTTACTATACTTATTAATTTTCTATATTATTTGCTTTAGAGTCTATGTATTTCAGAAAGTTATATAAAATAAATATACCTCAAACTTCCTTGTACTATAATATTATTCACTTTCATCAATCCATGCTTCATAAAAATAATAATTTCTTTAATTTAAAAGGCAACACAAAACAGTTTGTAAATATAATGAAATAGCAAAGAACCGTTAGTAATGATCTCTTGTCCTTGCGAAAGTTGCTAAACAAAATAGAAAATAAAAATGACCTAAGTGAATATAAAGAATAGATAACATTTTTAATAAGCATCTAAGAGGTCAAGTAGATTATTTTGATCTATCGCATCACGTTACAACCATTACTATTTTCATTTTTACAAACATTACACATATAGTTTGACCACTTTTGATCTCTTATATGTTACATGATCAACATAAAATGGTATAGATTATATGATGCTTGAGAAATATGAACTTTTGATATTGATGAACTAATTTACCCCTCAGGTTTAGTATAATTAATTAAGTTATTTGTCATATACTAAGCAGATGACAAATAAACATTATAAACCAAAAAAATTCTAAGTCTCTCATGACAAAATTTTAGTTATTCTTTAAATTTTGACATGTAAATTGACTGTCGTTTGTATATAATTTAGCATTATATTAATCAGATTTTGGTTAGTAGGTAGCAGTCTTATAAGACTGCTATCTACTTGCGTTAAAATGTTATCTACTTATCGCTATAATATTATCTACTTATCATTATACTGCTACCTACCTGTGCTATAATGCTACCTGCTTTTGTGTTTTCGATTCTCTGTGATCCTTTTATTTCATTGTAGCTATCCACTCGATTTCATTGTTCTGTGATCTTTTTTATTGCCTTGTAGCTATCTGCTTGATTTTATTGCTCTATCTTCTTTTTATTATCAAGAAACTATTCAAGTGTTTAAAATGTTTGTGTTCCTTTTGTTTCTAAAGAGCTATTCGCTTGTTTTTTTGCTTCTGAGCCTATTTGGTGGCCTGTTAAGATATCGAGAATGCTTCTTTTTTGCGCCTATTTGGTTGCCTTTTAAAATACTGGAATGATGTAAAAAAAGAGGCGACAGGTGGCACGATAAATTTGAGATTAATTTTGCCCAGCTCTATGATATAACTCTGGCTGATCTTTTGAGCATGTAATTTTAGGTCCTAGCATGGTAACATGATGGCGTTATGATAGTGTCATGGAACCGTTATGGAACTGTTAAAAAACTGGTAAGGAACTGGCAGGATGTCTGAGATGTTCCATTTATTCGCCAGTTTCAGTCCACTTATATGCCAGCTTGGATGTCGAGTTATTATGCCCATAGTTCTGGCTGAAATTGTGGAATAGTATTGGCTGAAATTAAGTGAAATAATACTGCATCTTACTGCGTTATAGTGATGTAATACTGTTTTGGTACTGGAATACTCTCATATAGTTGCTTCCTTCTCAATTGCCATTTCTTGATTGCCGGATGAGGCATGAAGTGCCGAATTTGCAATCCATCTATTTGCTAAAGATGTATTGCAATCTATTCACCCACTTTTTGATTGCTGGTGAGGCAGATGCAAAGTGTTAGTATTATGCTATTCTTATAATCCTGCCTGTATAATTGCTGAGGATGAGGCACAAAGTGCTGAATTGGTTTAGAATTTACATCTTTCATACCCTTTTTTTATGTATTCTTTTAAGTCTTTCCACCTTCCTGATTTCTTTCCTGCCTATCATTGGTAACCCAGATGCGCAAAATTTTTTCTTTCTTTCCTATATATAATTCTGCTTATCTGGTTACCAAATTTATATCCTAGTTTTCGCCTGAGCCTTCCTAGAATTTCTTTTGTATAGTTGCTATTTTTGGGTATCCCTATGTATGATTACTTTGGGTTATTATTGTATTGATTACTTTTGGGTACTACCACTAACCCAGTGTTTTACCAGCAAGCGTATTCGCTTAAAATTACTATTTTGAAGATTTGGTATTTTCTATATAATTTTATATTAACTTCCCCCTACATACCTATCATGCTACTTGCACAAAAAAAAATTCGAACCTAATCTTGAAGAAATAAATGAAGCAATAAGGTTCTTTTCAGGTGTAGCAGACCTTGATTTTGAGCCAGGCTATATTGATCACGTGTATTTCCAATATTTGTCTAATAGTAAAGATAATATCGCTCTTCTAGACGCCTATCATCCTAAAGAGATTTTTGATAAATATATAATTTGGGTAGCAGATAAGGGCTTTACAGTTGTTGAACACCCATCCAAAGTTTATAGCTTATCCGATTCTCATGAGTGTATTGATAGTAACCTGCCTCTTCGTCTTATTCTGGATATTGATGTGAGGTTGAAGCCCGATCCCACGAATCCTGAACTTCCTTCTTTAGATAGATATAAAATTTCTCATAATGATTTATTATCCAGAATCTTAATTGCCTGCGCTGATATTTTATACTCTGATTTAAAATATCTCATAACTTTAAATGCTTTCGCTTTAGCTAGTTCGTCTAATGATAATAAATGCAGTTGGCATATTGTATGTTCTGATGCTTACTTTATTGACTATAGAGATCTCAGGGGTTTTGTAGAAAAAGTTGCTGATAGGATTGGAAAACCATATTCTGAATTTATCGATCTCATGCTTTATAAATCACGTTTTAGTCTTTGTCTTCTTGGATCAGCAAAGAAGATAGAGTTAAAAGACCTGCAATTTTTTTCAGTTAAGAAAGGTTATTGCAAGCTAGAGGATTATTTGGTTCAATCCAAATTTTATTGTTCTGAAATCTGACTTTGAACCTTTTCTTCTGAGAAGCCAAAAAGAGAAGAGAGATTCCAGCCTATTGAAGATGAAACTGCCTTAAGTAAGAGAGCTGATTTAGTTATCGCAAAATATGAATGGTTTGATGTTACTAGCATTAGAAAGGGATTTGTTATCTTTTAAGCGTGATCGTTGGAAGTATGCCCTATCTGTAATATCAGATATGAAAGAGATCAGTTATATGGCTTTTTTTCAAAATGATGGATGCTTTATACTTAGATGTTATCAGCAGAAATAATATAAGCCTGATCATAGAGAATTGGCATTTGGGAAAGTATCAGGTATAATCAAGCTGAAAGAAAAACCTAAACAAAAAATTGGTAATAGAATGGCTTCTACCATATCAAACCTATACCCACTTTCTAAACTATCTGGAGAAGTTATTAATGTAAAGGAAATAAAAGATTTCCCAGAAGCTTATCCTGATTTCTTAAATGAAGAGACCAGTACAACTTTGATTCGCTCCCATATGATGACAGGAAAAATAAAGGGTTTAAGAAAATATCTCAATTTTTTAGCCAGGAATAAAGCTAGTTTGCCTTGCATTATTTGGATTTCTTACCAAAAAACTCTTAGTAATGAATCACAGGGTAAAATTAATGATCTTAAATTATCTGGACTCAGAATCTGTAATTATCAAGACAAACAAACTTATCTATAGATAAGTGGGATATTATTATAGTTCAAGTTGGGAGCCTTTCTCATATAAAGTTCTCATCCCGTTCGATTGTAGCTATTTTAGATGAAATTAATGCAATTAATTGCCAAATGGGTAGTGGTGTAAATGCACGGGAATCTGAGAATACGATGCGTATATATTAAAAATGGCCTAGCATATACTTGTAATGGATACCTTCAGAAACAAATCGACTCTAACCTTTCTTAAAACTTATTGTGATGAAAATATTCGAGTGATTGATAATAAATTTTAACCTCTTGTAGGTAAAACTGTTGAGTACCTTTATAATCCAAATAGTGGGGCTGAAGCTATGCGAATAGGATATGAGTTATTACAGCAAAGTAAGTATGTGGCATTCGTTTTAACAAGTTGTAGTATAGTCTGAGCATTAGCAGAAAAAGCCTCTAAATTGCAAAGACCTGATAATTCTCCTATTAGAGCCTGTGCTTATTATGGGAATATGAACAGAAAACAATGAAAGAAAGATTTTTCAGATATAAATACCGCTTGGGATGAACTTGATTGTGTAGCTTATACAAGTACAGTAGAAGCAAGCATATCTTTTAAAAAGACTGATTATTTTGATGCAGTTATAGGAATTACAAATATTGTAACTCTAGTTAATGTTGAAGCCTTTATTCAGATGATATTTCAGATTCATGATTGTAAAAAGCGCATACTATCCCTCTATTATCAAAAAAATTCTAATGAGCTTTTTCACCCAGCAGGTTATAAAAATATTCGTATTGAACTTGAAAATGCTAGGCCTAATAATTTACCTACAGCAATAAGAGAGCATTGTAAATAAGATAAAAATATTGTATCATATAAACATAATCAATCACCTGCCATAATATCATATCTCAAAGTTGAGCATCGAAAACGTCTTTCTGTAAAAAATTTCATTGAGATATCATGCAGTCTTATAACTAGTACAGGTGCTTTTCTCCAACTTATAAAAATAGATGAAAACCGAGGAGTTATAGGAAATAAGGTTCCGCAATTTGATTTGATATTTGAATATTTGATTCGATCAAATTCAAATCAAGTATTTAAATATTTGATTTGATTTGAATCAATAGTAAAGCCATCTCCAAAG